CCCAGGATCGAGCATTGTTTCGTTCTGCTGTGCATGGGGTCGCTATGAGTCGGTTCTGACTCGATGGCACCTGACAACAACAACAACAATATGTGACTATGTCACTGGAGAAATATATCATGTTTGGTAAGGTGGAGGGTCAGAGAAAAAAAGGAAGACTCCCAACGAGATGGATTGGCAAAGTAGCAACATCAATGGGATCAAGTGTGGCAACAATTGTGAAGTTGGCACAGGACCGCATAGTGTTTCGTTATGTTGTACATAAGGTCGCTATGAGTCGGTACTGATTCGATGGCACCTAACAACAAAAACAACAACATATCTGACAAAATTTTGGTTCTTTTCATCATGTTTCAATATTCAATAATGAATTCAATATTGAATACTGTGCTATCTGACAGTGTTCCACTGCTATTCATATCGTTTTCAGTGGCTAAACGATCAGAATTAGTCTGCCGCTAATACTTTCATCTTAGTCTGGAAGCTCAGCTAAAACCTGTACACCATACGTGTAACTTGCTCATATTTTAAATACCAATAGCATAGTTTCCAGGACAACAGCAACACACGTTACCACAGTACAACATACTGAAAGAGGAGTGATGGTTGCTATGCATTAGAACCAATTTGAAAACACCTAACAAAAACAACAATGAGTCGTTACTCACAGAACTCAAGAGGAAAAAATAAGTTCACACTGTTGTTGTTGTTGTTGTTATTAGGTTCCATTAAATTGGTACCAACTCATAGCAACCTTATACACAACAGAAAGAGACACAGCCTGGTCAGCACTCACCTGACAATCATTATGCTTGAGCCCATTTTTGCTACCACTGAGCCAACCCGTCATGCTGTGTGTCTTCCTTTTTTTCACGGACACTCCACTTTACCAAGGACATAATTGTCCTTCTCTAAGAACTACCCCCTTCTAATAATGTGTCCAAAGTATGAGAGACAAAGTCTGGTCATCCTTGCTCTTGAGGTTCATTGCAGTTGTACTTCTTCCAACACAGATTCGTTTTTTGTTTTTGTTTTGGTGGTTCATGATACTCTTCATATTCTTCTCCAACACCAAAACTCAATGCATCATTTCACCTATGGTCTTTATTCATTGTTCACCTTTCACATGCATATGAGATAACTGAAAATAGCATGACTTGGGTCAGGCACACCTTAGTTCTCAAACTGACATCTTTGCTCTTGAACACTTTGAAGAGGTCTTGTGTAGCAGATTTTCCTCATGTAATACAACATTTGATTTCTTGATGGCTGCCTCCATGAGTGTTGATAGCTGGTCCAAGCAAATTGAAGTCTTTGACAACGTCAATCATTTCCCCATTTATCTTATGTTATTTATTAGTCCAGTGGTGAGGATTTTTTTTTTTTTTTTTTTTTTACATTGAGGTGCAACTCATACTGAAGACTGTGGTCTTTGATCTTCATCAGTAAGTATTTTAAGTCCTCTTAACTTTCAGCATGCAAAATTGTATCATCTGCATGTTGCAGCTTGTTAATGAGTCTTTCTCCCATCTTGATGGTATATTTTTTTTTCGTATAATCCATCATATTTGATTATTTGCTCAGCATACAGATTGAATTGTTTTTGTTGTTGTTAATTGCCATCAAGTTGATTTTGACCCATAGCAGCCCTGTATAGGGTTTCCAAGAAGCAGTTGGTGAGTTTGAACCACCGACCTATCAGTTCAAACGACTTTGTAGTCTGACGTATAGCCCAGAGAGTCACAGCAGGGCTCAATACAAATTGAGTAAGTATGATGAAATAATACAACACTGGCACATACCTTTCTTAATTTTAAAATTTATATGTTCCCTTCTTCTGTTTGAACAACTGCTTCTTGGTCTGTGTACAGGTTCCTCATGAGCACAATTAAGTGTTCATCATGATCCAGACAATCAAAAGCAGAGAACTATGTATGACAATGCTCAGACTTAGTTATGATCTGTCTGTAGAACTTTGTGGTACTTATTATATTTGTTACTATACAAACTGGAAAGAACCCACAAGGCCCAAGATTCAAGTCTGCCAGCCACACCCCAGAAGCAAGTGAGACTTTCAGCTTCTGAAAAATTTAAAACCTTTAATTTAACAACTAAAGAGCTTTTTAAGTGTCTTTTAGTCAGAACCAACTCAAAGACTATGAACAACAACATAGTATCTGCTGAGCCAATTAAAAACTAAATTGGTTGTCATTGAATCAATTCAAGCTCATGGAAACTCCAAGTGTATCAGCGTTTAGTTGTTCTCCACAGTTTTTTAATGGCTGACTTTCTGAGATGCATCACCAGCTGCTCCTCAGAAACCCTGTACAGCATAGCTAGGAGTCAGAATCAACCCAATGACACTTAACAACAACAACAACAATGCCCAGTCTTTTAAATCTTATACTCTAAGTGTATTGCCAACGAGCCTCCTTTTTAGATAACCCTCTAACTGACTCTGATACAAAGCAGTTTGATAATCACAGCTCTAAAACACATTTAATATCATATGATTTTTATTTCCTACTAATGTACAGATTTCAGAAAGTTGTTTGATAAAATTAGGTACTATGTCATATTAAGTGTATGTTGGTTGACAAATGAGGAAAAAGAGTAGATACTTAGGCAAAGATAGGAAATATGTGAGAGTGGAAGTGAAA